CTGCTGCTCCGGGCCTGGCCGCTCCCAGCCTGGCAGCCGCTGCTCCGGGCCTGGCCGCACCCGACCCTCCTGCTCCCCCGGGCCTGGCCGCTCCCAGCCTGGCAGCCGCTGCTCCGGGCCTGGCCGCACCCGACCCGCCTGCTCCCCCGGGCCTGGCCGCTCCCAGCCTGGCAGCCGCTGCTCCGGGCCTGGCTGCACCTGACCCGGCTGCTCCCCCGGGCCTGGCCGCTCCCAGCCTGGCAGCCGCTGCTCCGGGCCTGGCCGCACCAGCCCCGCCTGCTGCCCCGGGCCTGGCCGCTCCCAGCCTGGCAGCCGCTGCTCCGGGCCTGGCCGCACCCGACCCGGCTGCTCTGGGCCCGGCTGCCCCGGGCCCGGCCGCTCCGAGCCTGGCCACTCCCGACCTGTTTGCTCTGGGCTTGGCTACTGCTGTTCTGGGTCTAGCTGCTCCCACCCCGGCTGCTCTGGGCCCGGATTCTCCGGGCCCGGCCACTCCGGGTCTGGGTGTTCCTGGACTGGCCACCCTGGGCTTGGCCGCCTCCGCCTCATGCCTTGCTGCCACTGCCCCAGGTCTGGCTACTCCAGTGCTGGCTGTTGATGCTCTGGTTCTGGCTGCTGTTGTTCTGGGGCCTGGCCGTTGCTGCTCCGGGTCTGGCTGCCACTGCCTTGTGCCTGGCCACTCTAGGCCTGGCCGTCGCTGTTCCAACATTCTGTCCTTTTTTTTTTCTTTTTTCTTTTTAAAACGCATTTATGTTGCAATGTTGGCTGGTGAGTTGAGTTCTGACTTAGTCTTTGATTTTTCAAGATCTTCTTTGTATTCTTTCTTAAGTAATTTTACTATTTTTTGCTCTCACTTGATTTCTTCACATTGAGAACTTCTTTGGTTTCTTCCTCCTTGTCCTGGGAGCTCAGCAGGTTGGCCTGTGGCACCCCTTTGTTCTCCGCGGGCTCCTGCGCTGCTTTAGCCTGTTGCCGGGGTCGGCGCCACCCAGGAAGCAGCCCCCGGCCTTGGCTCCATTGCCGGAGCTCAGTGGTCAAAGGCTCAGGGGCACCCACGCCCCCAGGGGCCCCGTGGCCCGCCTCCTTGCTGGTGCCCGGTTGGCTGGAGTCCGGCAGGGGCTTCCGCTCCCCTCTGCGTTCCCCCAGCCTGGAGCTTTTTTTTTCTCCTTCCTGCTAGAGAAGTCCAGCATCAGAGTCAACAGACTGTCCTCTGTGCGCAGTTTGCGCGAGTCCCACAGACTGCCCTCTGCGCGCAGTTTGCGCGAGTCCCTGGGGCCCGGCCTTTCGCGGCTCTCCCCAGACTCCACCTCACAGCCCCGTCTCCCTCTGCCTGAGCCTGGGTACCCAGAGATTAGCCCAGAACTGGGGTTCAGAGCAGTCTGGACTGAGGTCCAGCGCCGCCGGAGGCCTTGTTTCTTCCGGCTAGGGTAACCCAGCATCAGAGTCAACATTCAGTCCTCTGCGCGCATTGCGCGCGACTCCCGGGGCCCTGCTTTTCACCGTTTTTCCGCCTCACGGACCCATCTCCTCCCACCGGGGCCTGGGTCCCCAGGGTCTGGCCCATAACTGGGGCTCAGCACTGCCGGTTCGGGGGCTCAGCGCTGCCGGTTCGGGGGTTCAGCCCAGGCTGGGGGTTTTATTTCCTTCCTGCTAGGGAAGGAAAGGCGGCTCCCCGCCCTCTCCTCTTCTCTGGCTGCGACCTCTCCGTGCGAGCGTGCGGGTGAGCACGCGCGCAGCATGTCTCCGTACCTTAGGCTTTTTTTCAGCTCCTCTGATTTTCTTTCTGGTTTTCTCTTTCCTTCTTGTTGTAGAAATTTCAGTCAGTCGACTACCTGTAGCTCTGGGCAATGTCCACTACATTTTAGTTGTATTCCATTGAAATTGTTGTGTGCTGCCGCGGCTAGATGTCTACCTGAGCAGCCATCTTGGATCCTCCCCTCTATTATTCTTAATGTAGTAAATTACATTGATTTTTTTTGGAATGTTAAGCCAACCTTGCATTCCCAGGATAAACAGCATCTTGTCATAATGTATCATTCTTTTTTTGTGTTGATGGATTTGATTTACTAATATTTTGTTAAGAAATTTTGTGAATATGTTTATGAAGAGTATTGGTCTATAGTTTTTTGTTTTTTTTTTAGTTTTCACTTTTTTAAATTTAATAAACCTTTATTGTTCAGATTATTACAATTGTTCCTCCCCCCACCCCCCCAACAGCTTCACTCCACCTGGTTCCCACCCCACCCTCTGACCTTACCTCCCCCTGATTGTCTTCATCCATAGGTGCACGATTTTTGTCCAGGCTTTTCTTGAACCTCTCACACACCTTTCCTCCTGAGAATTTTCAGTCCACTCCCTTTCTATGTCCCTGATTCTATTATATTCACTAGATTATTCTGTTCATCAGATTTTTAATTCACTTGATTTTTAAATTCATTTGATAGATATGTATTTGTTGTAATAATTTTTATATTTACCTTTTTCTTCTTTTTTCTCTTCTTAAAGAATACCTTTCAGCATTTCATATAATACTGGTTTGGTGTTGATGAACTTCTTTAGCTTTTTCTTATCTGTGAAGCTCTTTAGCTGACCTTCAATTCTGATTGATAGCTTGCTGGGTAGAGTAATCTTGGTTGTAGATTCTTGCTATTCATCACTTTGAATATTTCTTGCCACACATGTTCTTGCTATTCATCACTTTGAATATTTCTTGCACCTTCTCAGAGACACTGTGGAACTCACATCGGAGCTGACCCAGCAGAAGTCAGGGAGGCTGGGGTAATGTTAGAGGGTCTCCCTGTGACAGCAACTCCCCTACACTTTCAGAGTGAGCTTAACAACATGCAACAAACTCCCAGGGACTGGAAAAAGCCACCAACTTGTAAAGAGAAATGCAAGTGTGTGAGGAGGCAGATGTCTGCCAACAGGATTGTCCACCACAGCTTTAGGTGAAGTCAGGTGGAGTGGGGCCTAGGAAGAAATGGGCAGGACTTTTATGATCTCAGAGGCAAAGCCATGTTAGAATCAGAGATAAAAACCCAGTTTTTGACATTTACTATGTAAACCTCCAAGATATGGATGTCCGACAGTAAAAGATTTGGAAGGGCAGCTGATGCTAATTTCCCCTCACCCCTACCTCCAGATTAGACAGAGATTCTACAGGTTGGAAGAAGGCAGTGGGAGGGGAGGGAGCACATGGACAATATCAAGATGTCTCCGTACACAGCATTCCCTAGGGAGTTCTGTGCGAGTTAAGTAACAGCCAAGAAACTGATTGTGTCCTCGCGAGGATATATTGCCCACCACTCATCTCCTCCTCCTCTTTGGGTGGAGTACCCATGACACCCATAAACTCTCCACAGCAAGGGTGAGTCTTTACCTAAGACATTGTAAGACCCACCCAACTCAGGTGAGTGCCACTCTTTTAGAGGCCCTGGAGCTTTGAAACCTGTGGAATGGGAGAACGGTGGGATACGTGCCCCAGACACAGGGGAGGGTGATGAGAAGGGTCTCTGCCCCATAACCTGCACATGCCCCCTCAACTCCTTAGCTTCCAAAGGCAGTTCTCCATTTCTGAAGAAGCCTCATCCCCCTTGACCCAGAGCGGTGAGGCACAGTCCAAGAGCCAGGTACTCTGGGAAGTTGGCCTCTCCCTGCAACCTTCAAAGCACAAGGAGGTCAATGGCTGTTCTGCATCACCTCTGGGGCCTCTCCTGAGCTCTCTACCACGAGGCTCTTAGAGAGTCCTCCTGGAAGAGCCCTGTGGTTTGGCTCAGTCGGATGGAGCAATAAGAGAGGTGGTGAAGGTCAGGCCAGAATGACAGGGTGGCACAGGGCCTGAGAGGCCTTGGAGTCATGGTCATGGAGCAGAGCCACAGGAGGCATTCTGAAGCTCCAGGACCCTGGACCCCATTCTGAGCATTAGACCCAACCTGCAGGTGCCAACGTGGAGGCAGCAGAATCAACAATTGGGGCTGGCATGAGGATAAACTGAGGCACAAGAAGTGACCGGGTTCAGCACTGCACTGGTACCTTGACCCTTGGCTCATTCTCTCCTCACAGAGCCCCCTTCTCATGCACCGAAGCGGCCCTGGAGAGGGGAGGTACAATATTTCTGTTTTATAAGTTGGAACCAGAGGCCCTGTGAGGGACTGCGATATGTGTACAGCCATGAGGTGAGCTCACTGAGCTGGTCTCCCCTGCAGAGGAGGGGCAGGAGTGGGTGCAGCACATTCTGCTGCCCAGGAGCTCTGTGGTCTTTGGTAGACACGTTACATCCTGAGCCTCAGCTTCCTCACTTATGAAACTATGATCTCTCAAGGTTGATGGGAGGCTGAAATCTGGCACATAGTGCATGAGACTAGTGGATCCTGGTCCACAGATGTGATAAACCGTTCTAGTTATCACCTCCCCTCCCCCATATATTGAATTCAGTGGAGGAACGACATCTGACAGCACTCACATCCAGCTGCAGGTGGAAGTCACACGAGTGGTCCCCATTGTGTGCCCACTCCCCAAAGCCCCTAAGGAACAAACACTCTGGTTGAATTGCAAGGCTTTTATTACTGGAGTTCTTTAGTCAGACATGTGGACATGGCGGTTGCAGAGAATTCCTTAATGACCAGGCAAGCAGCTTCACTGGGGTTCCTGGCAAGGATGGCTCCATTAACATAAACGACTTGAGGATATTTTATTCTGCAAAGAGAAAGACAGGAAGCCCGGTGACCTCAGGGCTAGAAGACATCCAGCTGCATTGGACACGACCTGGGCCTTCTGAGGAGGGCCGGCAGCCCTATTGGATCTGAGCAGGTAAAAGCGGGTTCCTCACTATCTCCTGCACCACAAGAGAATCCCAGGATGTACCTAGAAGCTCCCGCCAATGGAACAGAGAGAGGAGGAAGGGTCACCATGGTGAGGTGGAGGGCAGTGCTAGATAGAACAGGAAGAGGCTGCTGAGAAGCACTGGTGGTACCAGAGCACCTGGGAGTTTCCAGGAGGGGAGCTCAGTCTATTGTGTCCTCCTGTCCTATGAACACGTGCAGCTGAAGGAGTGGAGTGTCTCCATCATCACTTGGGGCAACTTAAAGTTGGAGGTTAGAAGGGGACTTTTGGAAGGTGCCTCTTCTCCTGGCATTTGAGGTACAGAATGGCCCTCTGGGATCCGGAGAACAAGGCAAATGAGGGTTTTAGTGGGGATGGAGTAGGGAACTCGAGGAGTTAAGGTAAAGGACTCAATGCCAGTGGTTTGAAGATCCAGGCTGGTGAGCTGGAGAGGCTGAGTCAGGACCTGACACTGAGGCCAGGTGGTGTCACACAGACAGGAGGGCCTGGAGGGTGTTAGGCTGGTGGCCGAGCAGATGCGAGAGGTCAGGGCCAGCCCAAGAGCTCGAGGGCTAGACTGAGCCTTCCCGGCTGGCCCTTCCCCACACCTTTGGTGCCCACCCATCCTCTCCACCTCCTCATTCAGGGAGTTCTTTTTCCTCCTTGATTCTCAGGGAAGGGCTATGTGGAGAGGAGAGATCTGAGCAGATCCCAGGCAGGCATCAGAGCAGACACACACACACACACACACACACACACACACACACACACACACACACAAAGAGCCAGACCCACCAGCACGCTGATAGCATTCTCCTTATCCTCTTCTGTCAGTTTCTGGTCAACGCAGTTCTTCAGTTTTCTGGCATTGGCCAATATTAAAGAGTCATTTTGGTACTTTTTCACTTGTGCAACATATTCGTCTGGGGATCCCATCAGGAATATGTAAACGTCTTTTTTCACGGCTGGGCAAATGCCACAATCTGAAACACAAAGCAAGCTGACACACAGTCCTGAAAGACACTCATGAAAACACACTCTTCCCTTACCCCCCAGACACACTCAGGACTGCCCGAGAGGCCTTAAAACCTCGGAGAATCCACATCCCTAGGCACCCACTTCCACTGGAGATCAGGAGCGAGGCAGCCCAGAGCAGCGCGAGGGCACCGGCCCCCATCATGGTGCAGTTGGCAGGTGCTCCCTACCTATCCTGGAACCCTTTTATACTTGCTGTTGGCCCCACAACGGGGGGGGGGGGGTAAAGGAGGGGCCTGTATCTGATGCCTCCTTTTCCAGGAGATTCTGCCAAGGTCACAGCTTGGAATTCCCTGGGGCTGTGGAGGCTGGAAGTATACATTGGCAAAATCCTAAATCCCTCAAGTAAACACAGGGCACTGGCTCAGCCTCCCTTTCCCTCTCCAGGGCTGTTGGAGGTCAGCTGACACTAAAAGCTTAAGAACTGAAATTTCCTAGGTTGACTAGGAAAAGGGGCAAAAAGGTCCCCAAATCAGGCCTCCGGAAGGATACCCAGTGTCAGCCTATCACAACGGCCTGTGTCCTTGTTAGCGGTCTGGTCCCCACTAAGGATTTCTCAGGAAGCTCAGTGCTTAGCTGGCCTCACAGCTAGCAAAGGCCAAGGAAAGCTAGATTACAGGCTCTCTGGTGACTGCTGCCTCCCCTGCTTTCGTCACAATCTTCTTGACATGCTGAGTGGCCTCCCTTGAGCCAGACCCCCTGAATCTGTTTCTGAGCCCTGAATCCTCCCCTACCCAGAAGACCTAGATGCCTGTAGACCAAGTCTGCACCTGACTATTCTTATTATTATTTTGTGTTTTTTTTTTTAAATTAAATCTTTATTGTTCAGATTATTACAGTTGTCCCCCCCCCCCCCCCCCATAGCTCCCATCCACTTGGTTCCTACCTCACCCCATGCCTTTACCACCCCTCCCCCACTGTCCTCATTCATAAGTACATGATTTTTGTCCAATCTCTTCCCGCACCCCTCAAATCTCTTTCCCCTGGAGGTCTGTCAGTCCACTCCTTTTCTATGTTCCTGATTCTATTATATACATCAGTTCATTCTGTTCTTCAGATTTTTTATTCACTTGATTTTTAGATTCACTTGTTGGTCTGTATGTATTTGATGCCTTTTTGTTGTTCATAATTTTTACCTTTATCTTTTTCTTCTTCTTCCTTTTCTTAAAGAATACCCTTTAGCATTTCATGTAATCCTAGTTTGGTAGTGATGAACTTCTTTAGCTTTTTCTTGTCTGTGAAGTTCTTTATCTGACCTTCAATTCTGAATGATTGTTTTGGTGGGTAGAGCAATCTTGGTTGTAGGTTCTTGCTGTTCATCACTTTGAATATTTCTTGCCACTCCTGTTTGGCCTGCATAGTTTCTGAGAAATCAGCTGACAGTCATATGGGTGCTCCCTTGTAGGTAACTAACTGTTTTTTCTCTTGCTGCTTTCAAGATTCTCTCTTTGTCTTTTGCCCTTGGCATTTTAATTATGATGTGTCCTGGTGTGGTCCTCTTTGGATTCCTCTTGTTTGGGGTTCTGTGCACTTCCTGGACTTGTAAGTCTATTTCTTTCATCAGGTAGGGAAAGTTTTGTGTCATTATTTCTTTCAATAGGCATTCAATATCCTGCTCTCTCTCTTCTTCTGGCACCCCAAAAAGCCAGATGTTGGAATGCTTAAAGCCATCCCAGAGGCTCCTTACACTATCCTCACACTTTTGGATTCTTCTTTCTTTCTGCCTCTCTGTGTGTGTTTTTGTATCCTCATATTCCAGATCTTTGTTTTGACTCTTAGAGTATATTGATCTCCAGTTGAGTTTCTTTCTTTCTTTTTTTTTTTTTTTTTAATATATATTTTATTGATTTTTTACAGAGAGGAAGGGAGAGAGATAGAGAGCTAGGAACGTCGATGAGAAAGAAACATCAACCAGCTGCCTCCTGCACACCCCCTACTGGGGATGTGCCCACAACCAACGCACATGCCCCTGACCGGAATCGAACCTGGGACCCTTTAGTCCACAGACCGACACTCTACCACTGAGCCAAATCGGTTTCGGCCCAGTTGAGTTTCTGTATATTCTTTATTTCAGACAGTGTATGCTTAATTTCTGACTGGTCTTTTTAATATATATATATATATATATATATATATATATATATATATATATATTCTGACTGGTCTTTTTACTATATATATATATATATATATATATATATATATATATTCTCATTAAGGTCCTTGAAGGCAGTTTTTATAAGTTTCTTGAGTAACCTTATAAATGTCCTTCTGAACTCTGTGTCATCCATCTCTCCCATTCGTGACATGCTTCTGTGTCTCGCATTTTGGTTGCCTCCCTGTGTTAGAGTAGCTTTGTGTGGTAGGTGACCTATAGGGGCCAGTAGCTCAGTTTCCCCAATCACCTGAGGTGGTTGCTCTTGGTACACCTCTTTGTGGGCTGAGTGCAAAGTCTTGGTGTAGTTAACCCTTAATTGCTGTTGGTACACTGGGAGGAATTGACCTACAGGGCAATTGGCTGTGAGGACCCGATGTGTTGATAATGGAAGAATTGCTGCACTGGAGACATGTTTATGGCACAGGCCTTGTTTCAGTGGGGCTTTGGTGCTCACTGAGTCCGCCTCCCAAATGTGTCACTTATGGATGTGAGGAGTTGAAATCTGGTGTCTCACACTGACCACTAGGTACACTGACTTCTGGATCTCCAATGGAGTGCAGTTCAGCTACTTTCTGAGGCCACTCTTCAGGAGCTACAGCAAGAACCACAGTCCTTCCCTCCCTGGTTGGAACTTGGAGGCTTTGGAGCTGTCTGCACTGGGTTGCAAGTTTGCTACCCATAGGTTAAACTGCAGTAGAGAAGGCCATTTGTATGCAAAAGCCGCTGTTTGGAGCTTGGGTGTGTTTGTAAATTGTGTGGGGCAGAGTCTCAGGGCATCACTAGGCTAGGGTGTGGCAAACAGCGATGGTTGCTAGTCAGCCATCTCTGCCTCTCTGACCGCGTCCCCACCTCTCATGTCCCAACACAGCAAACAATTATTCTTGTATGCAGCTCTGCAAGCAAGCCACCCTCACTTTCCGACCTGATGGCAGACAGTTCAGCTTCTCCCCAGAAATTAGATTTCAGAGAGATTGGGAGCTTGTTTCTCTTTGGGTTCAATAAAGCAACGCCCTCCGCTAGCCAGGATCCACTGCCAGCCCAAATCATGTGCGAGCACGTTCTGTACCTCAGTTTTTCAGCGCTTGTGCCCTGAATGCTCTTTTCTCTTTCAGTCTAGTTATAGAGCTTCCACTCAGCTTTCCCGTGGTTCTGGGTGATAGACACTTTGTCTTTTAGTTGTAGTTTTGAAATTGTTGTGCATGGCAGCAGTTTAGATGTTTTTCTATGCCATCATCTTGGATCTCTCCAATTCTCCATTTCTTTCATTAGTGACCTGTTTCTTTGTCTCCACATTTTGGCTACTTCCCTGAGTTGATAGAGTGGCTTTGTATGGTAAATGTCCTATAGGGCCTAGTTGGTTGGCCTCCCCAGTTACCTGAGGTGGACACTCTTGGTGCACCCCTTTATGGTCTGTGTGTACAGTCTTGTTATAGTTAAGCCTTGATTGTTTTTGGTATTACTGGGAGGAATTAAACTCCTGGCCAGTTGGCTGTGAGGATCAGCTGTGTCTGCGATGGGAGAACTTCTGTGCTGGAGACACCCTTATGAGGCAAGACTTGCTTCAGTGGGGCTTTGTCCCCTGAATGTGCCCCTTAGGATCTGAGGAGTTGTAATGTGGATGGTCCTACTCTGACCCCTGGGTACACTGGCTCTTGGATCTCCAAGGAGGTGCTAATTTAGCCTCTGTCTGAGGCCACTCAGCAGGAGTTATGGAGAGTTATGCAGATTCCTCTTCTTTGTTTGGGTTTTGGAGGTGCCCAGATGAGACCCAGCTGTAAAGCAATGAAAGTTGCTGTGGGGCCTTGGGCCTTCTTTTTTATATTCTAGGTCTCACTGACTCAGCTTCAGTTTGTTAGGTAAGTTTATTTTTCAAAGGACCAAGCCATTCATACACAAAAGCCTCTGTGCACAGCTTGGTGGGGCAGAGTCTCAGGGCAGAGAAAACAGCAATGGCTTCCCATCAGCCCTGCCCTAAGAGGCCCCCGGGTCTCAGTGTCCCTTGGTAATCGCAGCAAGCACTTTTGAGAGAAAGTGCTCTCGAGTTCTGCCTGCTGCCAGACAGTTCAGTTTCTCCCCTTATGAGCCTGGGTCTCCAGAGTCTTGCCCAGAACTGGAGTTCAGAGCAGTCAGGGGCTTGTGTCTCCCTGTGGTTTGAAAAAGCCAGCTGCATCCTCAGTTGCCAGCTCTCCACTTGTGCACCTCCATATCTCTGCACTTTACTTCCGCAGCTTCTCTGAGTCTGTGTGCTTTTCTCTTTCCTTCTAGTTGTAGAATTTCCACTTAGCCAGCCTTCCTGTGGTTCTGGATGATATTCATTTTGTCTTTTAGTTGTAGTTTTAAAGTGGTTGTGCCAGGCAGCAAGTTCAGGTGTTTACCTGTGCTGCCATCTTGATTTCTCCCTGCACCTGCTTATTTTGATAGCACCTCAATCTGACAGAGAAATTTCATGTCCTCCCCAACCTTTTGCATTTCTCTGTACTATTCACATATCACTTCTTTATACCTACAATCTAAAGAAAAGCCAAGCCTGCTGTGGCCCACAACCCCTGTGCGATTTGTACACTAGCCCTCTCCTCCCTGCCCTACGGCCTCTCTAAACGAATCCCTGTGCTTCTCTCCACCTTCACTGGCCTCCATTCTGCTTCTTGGTCACATCGAGTATTCTGCAGAGACTCTTTGCAGGTGTTTCCCTCCCTGCCTGGAAATCTCTTTCTCCAAGTGCAGCACAATTCACTGCCTAATTCCTCAGATCACTGCAACTGTCACCTTATCAGAGAGACTCCCCCACACTCTTGACCCCTTATGTAAAAGGGGGACCCTCTACCATAGCATCTGTTCTCCCCCAACTTCATCTTTCTCCATAGCACTTCTTGCCATTGTGGCTTGTCCTCCACTCCCTCTTAGATGTCTGATGAGCGTGCTGCCACATCCGTAGGACTGGGACCTGGGCTGACACACAGTAGGTGCTTCATCAATGTTTATTAGATGAATGGAAGGAATATCTCATTTCTTTGGAGTCTATATAAAAAGGAACACTTCACTTATATTTGCTATATATGTGCTTATGAACCTTGCCTTGGATTAATTAAATAAGATAAAGGTTTGAAATGCTTTGATAAATCAGAATTAAGGAGCTTTTTTGCTGGAATAAGGTTTGCTGAAGCCCAGAGTTTTCTGACATGGGGAGAAAACATGTTCAGAAAACAGCACATGTTTTCTGACCCCAATCAGAACCCTATGCCAAACAGGATTCATATCCGGTAACTTTTTTGGCAAAGAGGCATCAAGTACTAAGCTCCAGCTGTTGATTGGCCCCTACAGAGCCTTTCCTTGCCATGGCTACTGATGCCCAGGGCTTGTCCCTCTGAGGATTACCCCATGAGGCCTCAGGTCACTGATGCCCCTCGGAGGCTCCTGGGTACCTGTCAGCTGAGAAAGTAAACACTACATGCCCTCAGTGGCACAGGTGGCTCTTTCTCTTCCTGGAGCAGTTTCCGTGTGGGGGTACACCTGGCAAGAATCACACGTCCGTGGTCCTTCACAGGGCAGTTCCTGCAGTCCTTCCCCAGCTCTGCGAGCTGATGCCGCCCAGCTCCGGTGTGTGTGTGTGTGTGTGTGTGTGTGTGTGTGTGTGTGTGTGTGTGCCACAAGAGCCTTGGAGACGTCTCCAGATGATGGGGACACTTGGGGAGGTCGGGGGACTAACTGCGGGACAGGCCAGCAGAGGAGTCTCAGCATGTGCAGCTCTTTCCTAATGGAAGTTTTTATCTTAATTTTTATCTTGAGATCATTTTAAATTTACAGAAAAATGACAAAGATGTGTTAAAACTTCTTAACTGACATTGGCACATTACTCTGTTAACTGAACTTCAAACTTATTGGATTTCACTAGTTTGTCCATTGATGCTCCTCATGTTCCAGGATCCAACCCACACCCTAAGCACACTGTGTTCATTGTTATGCCTCTCCTGGTTCTTCAGGCTGGGTCGGCTTCTCAGCCTCTCCTTGTTTCCTTGTCATGACTTTGGCTGCCATGAGGAGCACTGGCCAGGTAGTGTGGAGTGGCCCCAGAGCTGAGTTTGTCTGCTGCTCTTCTCATAACTTAGACTGGGGTTTAGACTTTGGGTTCTTGGGAAGACAGCACAGAGGTGAAGTGCCGTTCTTGTCACATCACATCCAGATATCTGTAGCATCAATATTTTACCTCTGGTCATTTTAGCCTTAGTCACTTGATAATATCATTTTTGCTAAGTTTCTGCACTGTTTTCTCTTTTCCCTCTTTTCCATGGGAATCAGTCACTCAGTCTGGCCCCCCCTTAATTGGGGAGGGTGGTGCGTGCCACCTCCTGGGCGTGGGTCTGCGGATTGCTTGGAGTGCTTCTGTAAGGAGCATTTCTCTTCTCCCCCATTGATTTATTTATTTAATCATTTACATCAGGGTAGACTCACATATATTACTTTATACTTTGGATTATGACTTCATACTTTATTCTTTTGTATGCAAATTGTTCCAGATTTGGCCATCGGGAGCTTTCTCAGGCTTCTTTCTGCTGAGTTTTCATGAACTGTCTCAACTTGTTAATGCCAACAAACAATTTTCCCGGAGCAGAAGGCTCAGTTTAACTCTTGAGAGAGTTTGAGCAGCTTGAGTGCTGCCTCTGTTTGACTGGCACTCTAGTCTGTACCCCACGGTGGCCTGTAGGGCTGTGGACACCCCTGTCTCTGTCTGACACAGAGACAGATTGCACAACCCACACCTGCTCGAGAACTCATGTTTCTGGATGTGCTGTGCAATCAGCCCCTCTCAGGGCAGGTTCACTGCTGGAGGGAGAGACAGCTAGGTGAAGCAACAAGGCTGCAGCCACTGGGAGTCAAGAAGGTGCCAAGAAATCTGCCCCCTTCGGTGAGAGGGAAACTGGTGGTGGGATCTAAAAATGGAGCATTACCAGCCCCGAGGAAACCTCGTGGCCACAAGTCCTGCAACATCCCTGACAGTGAGTGACTTGGAGCCCAAGGACGGGGGTCACCCTTCTTGGGGACCCATCCAGCTACTGCAGCAGCTACACTGTTCAAGGGCTCCAGTCAAGCCCGCTCCTCATACTCACCTCCAGAAATTCAACCTGCCTGTAAGTTTCCCGGGTGATTTCTTGTTTAGCTATAGTGGCATAGACTCGCCTTGGCCCCTCCTGTGATTTCTGTCTCTACATTTTGGGAGAGTATTGCACTTGGAGCCAGAATAGTTTAGGGGAAGAATGACCAGGAAAGACGTGACAGATGGTGCTGCACAACAGAACATTTGGCCCAGAGTGAAGTAAATTTGAAATGTCAGTTCCGGTTGGTTTTTGGCAAAGGTAAAGACCACATCTTCTCCAGGTTTGCTCTCAGAATTTGCTTCCCACATTTAACACCCCTATGGCTGAGGGCCACGCGTGCCAGCTTCCTGCCCTCGGGCTGTTGGAGCTCCTAGGGTGTGGGATGGGCTCACGGAACTTGTTTATAAAGTAGCAGAAACTCTGCCCTGGGCAGAGCATTCCATCAGCTGACGCGATGAAGGCAACACTGCTTGTGCTGGCCTTACTGGTGACCAGAGAGCTGGGCATCCAGATGGGTAAGAATAGGAAGGAGAGAAGAGATGGCTTTCCTGATCTTTGCCCTACTCTGTCTCACACCCTGCCGCCATGGGGATCTCTGGGCAGCTTCTAGCAGCAAATGTAGGGATCAGCTGGGAGATCACTGCCCAGGAGTCCTGCAGAAGCCCCCGAGGTTTCCAGTCTTTCAATGGAGGGAGAGGCTTGGAGATGGAGGGTCAGCAGTTATGCACACATAGGGCAGTGAATGGGGAAGTGGTGCTTATTTGAAAGGCTGGGATATCTGGGGCCATGGTCAGGGGCAGAGGGGCTCTGATCCTAGCCCCTCTTACTGCCCCTCTCAGCGGGGAGTGCCTCTTAGAGAATGTGCGCTCTGTCTGGGGTGGAAGTAGTCCTGGGAGAGGGCAGGTGTCGTGGAAGGTGAGTCAGGACACACTGGCTATATGAGTTACTTTCAGGTGGTGGGGAAACAGGAACCTTTCACCCTGGGATTCCTTTGATGGGGTGTTTTTTGTCTGTTGTCTTCAGCGGAAACTTGCCCTGTTTTTTATGGAATCTTTGGTACGTTGGCTGTTGGAAGCAAGTTACTGTTGGATATCAGCCTTAATCTGGTCCACGCTACCCAAGCAGAAAAAGTAGCCTTTGAAAAAATCCAGGACTGCTACAATGAGGCGGGAATTGAATCCAAGATCTTGGATCTGATCGTCATGGTAATTTATTCTCCTGCCCCCAACCCTCACTCTGGCGACATGCATGCATCATATTGCAAAATGTCACATAAAAATCGACCATGACATCATGGGGTACATGACAGATAAGAGCTATTAATAGTCAAGCTCATAAATCTAGCTCCACTCCACAGCATGTATAACATACAACCACATGCTACATGCACATCCAACCTGTTCTTCTATCATACATGTTCCTATTGTGCCGATTAGCTCACACAACTGGAAAACAGGGGACTAATGCCAGTGTAACATAGAAAGCATGTTGGCTTGTGTGATTTTCCCCAGATTAGGGGAGCTAACATTGCAGGAGTAGAATTTTAACCTTTGTCAGGAAAGAGAGACTTCAGTCCTGCACAAGTAGGAGTCCTGATGCTCTATTTTAGAAATATCAAAAATGAGCACTGCCCTGGCCAGCATGGCTAAGTGGTTAGAGTGTCAGCCTACGCATGGAGAGTTGCGGGTCCAATTCCCAACCAACAGCATGTACCTGGGTTGCAGGTTCAATCCCTGGCCTCAGTCAGGGAGCGTGTGGGAGGCAATCAATCTCGATGTGACACATCAATGTTTCTCTCTTCCATTCTCTCTAAAAATCAATGGAAAAAATATCCTTGGGTAAGGATTAACAAAAAAAACAAAAACAAAAAAATGAGCACCACTTTTAGACTCTTCCCAGAAGGGACTCGCTGTCTTTGTAAGGCTTCTGGCTTCCGATGTGTTTCACTTCCTCTTGTGCGCACCTTGATGACAATTCTTCCGGCTCCGAGCCCCACTTCCACCTCATTGTTGCAGTGCCCACAAGCCAGAATTCCTACTATGTTGTGTTACTCCCGAGGTCCTTGAGACACCTTCTACTTACGGGTAGCTGCTCACCAGGGCTATCAATATACCTCCTGATGAGCTGTCTTTATTGCTCTTTTTACACAGCCACGTGGATTTTTGAACAGTCTGTCCCTAACTCTATTTCCCCCGAAGAGCTGACTGCAAAATGAGAGGTTTTTCAAGAAGCAGAGTTTCTTGCATTAATGTAGGCTCACAGGGCACATGAGATTGTTTATAACACATGCATAAACATTCATCCGATGCACCTGAGTCTTAGGTACAGGAGAGACCACAGAAACTGACTCAGCCACCTTGCCCCTCTCTTAGGCCAAGCCCCACCATACCCTTCAGAACCATCTCATTTCTTTCCCTTTCTGGTTCTGTTGGTTGTTGAAACACCTGACCAATACCTGTGCCTGGGCAATTAGGAGCCATCCTCATCCTGGCCTGACTGATCACAGCCCCTCTAGTGGTGGCTGTGGGCCAGTGGTTCTTGCTGGGGAGGGAGCTGAGTCACTGAGGGGGAGGAGTGGGAGTAATCTGGGAGATAGGATAGCCCTGCTGGAGGCTCACGTCCTCTTCTCTTGTCATCTTACTCTCTTTAGGGCACTATCACCACCAGCAAGGAATGCATCCACTATGCAGTGGATACGATAAAGAAGGATGTCACTAAACTTCTAAACTGAACTGTTTTGGGAGGTGAATCTTTGCCATTGATACCTGCTCTGAACTCAGTCTTCCTGCCATTCTCACCTGAAGTTGGAATCCAGACACCTGTCCCCACACTGTCCCCATCAGGCTGACTCTAATAAAGCAACTACAACTCAGACCTGTGTGCTGCATCTGCGCTGTGCGGGGATGGGGGGTGGGAGGGAGGGTAGGGAGAGTATATGAGGCCTGCAGGGGATGTTGGAAGGTGGTGAGGAGTGACATATGGTTAAAGTATGGGGACTGGAGTCAGGCAGAACCAGGGTGAGTTTAGGCCCTGTCACAAACAAGCTCTAAGACCTTGGACAAGTTGTTTTGTCTTTCTGAGGCTAGTCCCTCATCCATAAATGGACATTGTATATGAAGATAAAGTTAAGAAACAAATGTAATCCCAGACTTGACTGGCCTGGAAGGACAAAAATGTTGTCAACAGCTTCAGACGCATCTCTCTGACTCTGGCATTTATTCAAACACTCATTTCATTCTTCCCAACAAAGGAGCTTGAATGGAGATTTCTCTCAGGGCTTATCCAAATCGGTCTGAAGTAGAGGTGATGCAGATAAACGGACACTGTTGACCTTATCCTCAAATCATTTTTTCTCATTTCTGTGATATATCTGAGTGATGAAATCTTTCACCTGGATACCAGAGCTTTGGAGAAGGCATTTTGTGTAGGTGGATCATTGTCAAATTGAAGTTTTTGTGAGAATGAAAACTAGAACCTTCTATTCCACAATCTTGTTGATGTCGCATGTATGTCATAGTTTTTTGTTGTTGTTTTTTAATATATTTTATTGATTTTTGTACAGAGAGGAAGGGAGAGAGATAGAGAGTTAGAAACATCAATGAGAGAGAGTCATCGATCAGCTGCCTCTTGCACACTCCCCACTGGGGATATGCCCGCAACCAAGGTACATGCCCTTGACCGGAATTGAACCCGGGGCCCTTCAGTCCCCAAGCCGATGCTCTATCCATTGAGCCAAACCGGTCCCGGCATTTTTTTATTTTTTTAAAATATAGTTTTATTGATTTCTGAGAGGGAGAAATAGAAACATCAATAATGAGAATCATTGATCAGCTGCCTCCTGCACACCCCCTATGGGGATCGAGCCCACAACCTAGGCATGTGCCCTTGACCAAAATAGACCCCAAGACCCTTCAGTACATAGGCTGACATTCTATCCACGGAGCCAAACCAGCTAGGGCTGTCTTATTAGTCTTTTTACATCCTAAGTTAAATGGAAGAAAAGGATTCATTCTGTGTTCCTATGGCATTCAAATGATGCAGATTCCCTGAAAGGCACCATTTATAGATGAAAAAAAAAAAGATCAAAGAAATAATCTAATTGCTTAAATGGACAAAAATAGCATCACCTGTTCTAAGTTGGGAATTCAGGTTTGTCCCTGGTATCTGTGCTGTTTAACCACAAAGCTTCAAAAATTGTTTTTAAAGGTCTTAATACAGGCATGACAGTGATAATAACAATACCAATAATAAGTAGCCACATCAGCAGGGATCATACACCTATCAACCTACACCTGCTCAGGGATCAACAGATCCTGTTCTCATTTTTATCATACATGAAGCCAATTGTTGGGTCCAAATCCTCTGCTAGGGATGGGACCTCCTCGGAAGCTAGGAACAGGAAGAAGAGGACAGCCACAGGTAGATGGGACATGCTTTATTGCAAGCAAAGCAGCTGCTCATAGCACATTTTATACTAACTCAGACAAAAGAGGCTTCTTGCTAAAATACTGACATCAGTGTTGCATGATACATAGGTACCCCTGCACAGTACATACAGTAAAACTGCTGTCATTGCCTTTGCGCGTGGTATGGCAAATAGGCCTTTAACATCCTGTGTACTCTGGGCAGGGTCCCCCCACCATTTACTCTCATAAGAGCCCTGTGAAGTAAGCACTAAATTACCCATTTACCAACATGGAAACTAAAGCAGAGGCAGATTTAGTAAAAGACGGCTCCCAGCTACAGGGCTGGGATTCACGCTGTTAGGGCTCCAGAGCTCTACACTGAACAGAAAGTACCCCACAGCCCTGCCAGAAGCCAGCAGCCTTGGAGAAAACAGGCCGTGAGGTGCAAGATAAATGAGAGGATTTAACAAAGGGAACAGGAGAGCAAGGGAAAGGCTTTTTTTTTTTTTTTTTTTTTTAATGTTTTTTAATTGATTTCAGAGAGGTAGGAAGAGGGAGAGTTAGAAACATTGGTGATGAGAATCAATTATCAGCTGCCTCCAGTACACCCCCTCCTGGGGATTGAGTCTGCAACCTGGGCATGTGTCCTGGCCCACTGAGACACACCAGCCAGGCAGGAAAGGCATTTTGTCTATTTCATGAAGTCATAAAAAATATTCTTACAGTGAGAATCCTATTATGCTGGGTAAAGATGAATATTAAGTGAATGACAGTCTACCTTTACTGGCTCATCTCATGTGAACCTGTTGGCGTGTTTTGTGGTATAACTTGAGAATAAAAGCTTTCCCATACTCAAAGCTCTCCAGTGAATCTTTATGTGTTGACTGAAATTATAGTAGTAGCAAGTCTTTCCCATAGACTTTGCATTTAAAGGGTTTTTATCCAGTGCGAGTCATATGAATATAAGATGAGTGTGGCTGAAGGCCTTTCAACATTTATTGGATTCATGGGGCTTCCCTTTAATGTGAACCTTCATATGTTGATGCAAATTATATTTGGAGCAAAAGGTTTTCCCACATTCTTTGCACTTAAAAGGTTTCTCACCAGTATGAATCCAACTATGCTGGTCAAAACCAGAGTGGAAGGAAAAAGATTTGCCACATTTAGTGCATTCATAGGGCTTCTCTCCTGTGTGAAGTCGCTGGTGCTCTGTGAGGTGTGACTTCGGCAAAAAGCTTTCCCACATTCACTGCACTCATAGGGCTTCACTCCAGTGTGAATCTGCATGTGTTGACCCAAATTAAATCTGTAGCAAAATGCTTTCCCACAGTCTTTGCATACAAAGGGTTTTTCTCCAGTGTGAGTTTTCTGATGCTTAATTAAATTAGACTGATGGATGAAGGCCTTTCCACATTTGCTGCACTCATAGGGCTTCTCTTCAGTGTGATTCTTCATGTGATGCCTGAGAGCAGAACTGTTGCAAAAGGTTTTCCCACACTCTTTACACTCAAAAGGCTGTTCTCCAGTGTGAATCTGCTGGTGCTGCATGAGGTCTGATGTACAGCTGAAGGTTTTCCTACACTGTATGCACTCATAGGGCTTCGCTTTTGCATGAACATAGTCACGTGCAAGATCCCAATTCTTGGTGTTCCTGCACTCACTATATTCATAATGGTTCTTCCCAGTTTGATTCCTGGGGTCTTTAACTAGTCTGTGTGCTTCACTTTTATGGAGAACACCTACTAGAGAGACTTGCTCCTGTAAAACCTTTGAGGGTAAACTATTATCTGACCCCAAATCATTGCATTTAGGGTTCATCTTCCCAGGGCCAGTCTCCTTGTAGAGATCTGTCACTGGCCTTAAGACTCCTTCCTGCATTTCTGACAGCCCTTCCAGAGTTTTGTTTTTTCCAGTCCTGGAGTCCCTTAAAGCTCTCCATCTCATCCATACCCGAAGCGAGGATCCCTCAGACAAGAGCAGTTGAGAAGTGGTAGTCTCTGATTTTTCTCTGGCCCCTGAAAAGGAATGATTACACAAGAGTGACCTATTAGTGATGCCAACATAATGAAACAAAATTACTACTTTTATTAGAGAGAAAATGATGAAAACAATGTCTCTGTGTCTGTTATGTTTTCACATATTTGAACCCCAGGTGTACATTTGTTCCTTTTTGTTCCTTGGGCTCCTTACATTTAAAAAAGGAAACTCAAGAGGGGGTGCTTGGACACAGAACAGAAGATCTGGTGGGAGAATCCTCCTTACATTCCAGAGTCAAGGAGAGCGGACAGTAGAAGAATGACATCACGTCAGGCTGCCTCTAAGAGAGAGCGCCTTATCGTGGTGCTAGGACAGCACAAGCACATGCACCAACTCCATTCCAGAGAGGAGAGTGAGAGAGCACAGGGGTTTCCCAGGAGGTGTGTCACTGTTTCCTAATAGAGAGGTAGAAGCTACCTGACAGAGGGAGTGGAAGGGGGTGCCATAAGGAGACAGACTGTACCAAGTCGGTTCTGAGTGAGACATGGGTGCCTAGAGAACCTCAGCACAGGAGAGGATGTTGGCAGTATGGAGGTAGAGACAGACAGAGGCAGAGGGCAGGCAGATGCCCAGGACTCTGACTTGGGTGCCATGAGCACAGTCACTGCTATTCCCTGACAAGGTTTACCAGGCGGAAGTGAGCACAATCTGAGGGGACAGGCTGAGTCAGCTGTGCCAGAGGAACAGCCAAGTTAAAAGACACAAAACAGCTAGAAGAGGTCAATGGGGAAGGAAGGGAGACATATGTAATACTTTCAAAAATAAAGATTAAAAAAAAAAAGACATAATCTGGCTAGTGAAAATTATAAACACTTAATTGGAGGCATTATGAAAATGTTAACAATGTAAGTGTTCATTTTTCCTCAATGGATCTATTAATTTAATAAGCCCTAGGTAAATTCACAACAGTGGTTTTTCAGAGAACTCAAAAAGATAATTCTAGATCTTATGTGGAAGAGCAAAGGGACACAATTATAGGGCCAGATGGTTTACCACTAAATTCTACAAAACATTTAAGGAAGAAATAATAACACATATCTAATACCAATTCCATATAAGCTCTTCCAGAAAACAAGAGGATGAAATACTCCCCATCTCATTTTATGAGGTCATCAGTACCTTAATACTAAAACCAAAACCAGATATTATTAAAACTATAGCCTAACATCTCTCAGGATCATCGACACAAAAATATAGAATGATATATTAACAAACTGAATTCCAAATGTAAAAAGAATGGAAAGTCCATGTAGGAATAAAAGGCTGGCTCATCATTCAAAAATAAATTCATGTAACTGACCCTATTAAAGACTTAGGGGCCTGGCTGGTGTGTGTCAGTTGGTTTGAGCATCCAGGCGAACACCAGAAGGTAGCTGTTTGATTCCTGGTCAGGTTACAAATGCTGGTTGGGGAGTTTGATCCTGGGTTGGGAGTGTGTGGGAGATACACAATAGATGTTTCTACCTAATGTTTCTCTCTCCTTTCTTTTACTTCCTCCCTCTCCCTTCTTTTCTCTAAAACAAACAAACAAACAAACAAACAAACAAACAAACAAACAAAAAAGTTTGGGTTCTGGCTTCTTGAATTTATATGCTGAAAATTACAAAATGCTGATGAAAAAAATCAGAGCATATCTAAATAAATGGGAAGATATTCTATGGTCATGGGTTGAGTACGGAGTACATGGCTCAGTTATTGAGTGTCGACTTGTGAACCAGGAAATCATAGTTCAATTCCTGATCAGGGCACGTGCCCAGATGGTGGGCTCCATCCCCAGTAGTAGGCGTGCAATCAATGATTTTTTCCTCATCATTGATATTTCTATATCTCTCTACTTCTCCTTTCTTCTCTGAAATCAATTTAAAAAATATATATATATATATTTAAAAAGATGTCAACTCGTCCTAAATCTTTAGATTAAACACAATCCAAATAAAAATTCCATCAAGTTCCTTTTGAAGGTATTGAAAAGGTAATTAAAAAATCTATGTGAAAAGGCAAAGTATGTGAAAAGTGACAAAATAATTCAGAAAAAGAACAAAGTCAGAGGATATACCTTATCCAATTTAAAACCAACTATGAAGTTATAGTAATCAAAATTGTGGTGTTGGCAAAAGTAAACACACACACACAAATAAGTGAAATAGAACAAGGAGCCTAGAAATATTATCCAAAAACATAGTAAACTCCTTTTTGAAAGATGCATGGTCAATGCAATAGGGAAAGATAGTCTTTTCAACAACTGGCTCTGGATGTTCACATAGGGTTAAAAATATACCTTGACACACACCTCACATCTTATAGAAAAAATAACACAAATGGATCATAGACTTAAATACAAAAATATAAAACTTCTAAAGAAACACAAAAGAGAAAATCTGTGAGACCTAGTGTTTGGTAATGAATATTTTGATATAGAAAGAAAAGTACAATTGTTGAAAGGAAAAATTCAGCTTTAATAGTAAATTGAGCTTTACCAAAATTAAAAAACGTTTGCTCTATGAAAGATATTGTTAAAAGAACGAAAATACATCCTGGCTAATTTGGCTCAGTGGCTAGAGTATCGGCCTGCGGACTGAAGGATTCCAGATTCAATTCTGGTTGCGGGCTCAATCTCCAGTAGGGGGCGGGCAAGAGGCAGCTGATTGATTATTCTCTCATTACTGATGTTTCTATCTCTCTCTCGCATCCTCTCTGAAATCAATAAAAATATATTTAAAAAATAAATAAAAGGAGGAAACCAAGATGGCAGCATAGGGTAGATACCTGAATGCAGAGTACCACAACAAATTTGAATTTAGAACTAGAAAACAGGGGAGGCATTGCCCTGAAGCACCGGACGGCTAGCTGAGAGGAGGCTCTGCCATCAGGGAAGGAGAGAGAAGGTGCGCTGACGCTCAGAAACTGTGAGGTACAGAGAACTGTGTATGTGAAAAGATGCTGGCTTACTCCCGATGCTCAGAGAGGGCGGGCCTAGCTGAGTTCGCTGCTGGTTTACTCCTGGCGCTCAGAGAGGGCGGACAGCTAATGCGCGGCTGGCTTTCTTGTTCGAGAGGAAAACAGAATTACCCTATTGCTCTGATAGACGGCCCCAGTCAGGGGGAGGCCAGACTGTCAGGCAGTGGGCAGAGATCTCTCGGAGGTATGTGAAGCCAGTGGCCATTACTGCGGGACTTAGAGAGGAGCCGACGGAAAAACAAAGCTTGTCTGCACCACCCATCCAAGCTGAGCACAGAAGCTCTCCCAGAGGCTGGCTTTTCCTAAGGAGGGACTGGCCGGAATCCAAAGATTGTCTGCGCCTTTACCAAAGAGATGTGCGCATTTGCAACCAATCTTGCGAGACTCACCGTGAACAGGACTTTTCTAAGGTGAGACTGACAGGGAACCAAAGATTGTCTGCGCCACCCGAGACTCCACTCCATCCAAGCAAAGTAGATGCTAGATGAGACACCGCTGATCCTCACAGCCAACTGGCTTGGAGGTCAACACTTCCCAGTGATACCAACAATAAGCAAGGCTTAACAATAAGACTGCACACACAGCCCACAATGGGCTACACCAAGACTGTCCACCACAGGTAACTGGGAAGGCTGTGCTACTGGGCTCTACCAGAACACCTAACACACAAAACTATTTCATCAAATTAAGGAAACAACTAAAATGAAGACAAGAGACAGGACACAAAGGAAGGAAATGGAGGAAAAGAAAAGAATGGACACTGAGTTCAAAACTACAGTTATAAGGCTTTTCAAGAATATCCTAAAAAAGGCTGATAAAATAAATAAGACCTATGAGGATATGAAAAGGGATCAGCTAGAAATAAAAAGGGATCAGCTAGAAATAAAAAGGGATCAACTAGAAATAAAAAGGGATCAACTAGAAATAAAGAAAACATTGTCTGAAATAAAAAATATTACACAGAGTCCTAAAAACAGACGGAAAGATCGCAAGAATCAAAACAAAGATTTAGAACACAAAGAGCCAGAGGACACTCCTCTGCAGAAGAAGATAAGAGAACCCAGGAAGTTGAAGATAGTGTAAGAAGCCTCTGGGACAATTTCAAGAGAACCAACATCAGAATTATGGGGATGCCAGGAGAGAGAGCAAGATACTGAAAGAATAGCAGAAGAAATAGTGACAGAAAACATCCCCCACCTGGTGAAAGAAATAGACTTACAAGTCCAGGAAGCGCACAGAACCCCAAACAAAAGGAATCCAAAGAGCACCACAATAAGACACATCATAATTAAAATCCCAAGAGCAGCCGAAACCAGTTTGGCTCAGTGGATAGAGCATCGGGCTGCAGACTGAAAGGTCCCAGGTTCGATTCCGGTCAAGGGCATGTACCTTGGTTGCGAGCACATCCCCAGTAGGGGATGTGCAAGAGGCAGCTGATCGATGATTCTCTCTCATTGATGTTTCTAACTCTCTATCCCTCTCTCTTCCTTTCTGTAAAAAATCAATAAAATATATTAAAAAAAAGATTTCCTATTAAAAAAATAAAATTCCAAGAGCAAAAGACAAAGAGAGAATATTAAAAGCAGCAAGAGCAAAGCAGGTAGTTACCTATAAAGGAGCACCCATACGATTGTCAGCTGATTTCTCAACAGAAACCATGCAGGCCAGATGGGAATGGCAAGAAATATTCAAGGTGATGAATAGCAAGAACCTACAGCCAAAAATACTCTACTACCCAGCAAAGCTATCACTCAGAATTGAAGGCCAGATAAAGAGCTTCACTAATAAAAAAAAAAGCTAAAGGAGTCCATCACTGCCAAACCAGAATTATATGAATTGTTGAAGGGGGTTCTTTAGGAAGAGGAAGGAGATAAAGATAAAAATTATGATCAACAAATACGTAACTATCAAGTGAAACTAAAAGCCAAGGGAATTAAAAAATCTGATGA